ATATAATATACCAAGCCAAATCAACCCAATATATCAAATATGAGGGGTCAGGAATTGTTTAATTGACAGTTGGGAATAGCTTCAATTGTTTGGTATATTTGTTAGTAGGTTTGATAGATTGGCTTTGGCGGCAGCGCTGCTGGGGCATTTGACACGATCGGATGCCTCTTTCGGCGCTAACAGCTTGTAGACCTGGGATGGCCATGCATGGTTGGGCTTTGATTGATTCTTTTACTATCTACTAGTTCCCACAGCTTCAGGAAAGCCGCTTGTCTCCGATTCTAAACATGTTGACTTGAAGCTACCTCGCCTACTCGATGATGACGTTGCCATATGAGACGATGTCGGCGTGTGCGCACTCTTGGATCAAGTGCAATCTTGCTCATATAATGACGGAAGGTTCATTGCATCTTGGTATTCGAATTCAGGGGATTTGTAAGTGAAACCAAAATTGGGATGACCCCTTTCACAGCTTTTACTGTTTGGATGTTGAATTTAATGAAATCTAGACTACTGCCAGTCTTGCAAAAGGCTAACAGGTGACGCTCCATTCCAAGCGTCTGGGCCACGACCTCAGCGTGCATATGTTACTTGTCGTTGTTTTTGGAACACTTCGTCACGAAGACTTCAGGGTAGGTGGCGAGAAAAGTGGGGTTTGGATTGGGAATTCTGGGTGAGATGAAGAAGTAACTCCAATATGAGGGTCCGCACACAATGCACAATTCGCCGCAGATATGTCTAGTTCCGCGTATAAGCCATTGAACCTCTCAAATATAGCTCATGTATTCATACCTTGTGGTTATTGAGCCATTCAGGGCGTAAGCGTGCATCCGAGGTCCTTGTTGCATGTATTCAGACACTTCTCGAAGACGGCATTGCTTCCTTTCCCGAAAAAGCAATCTTCGCGGCACAAGTTGCACTATGCGCTGTCAGTTATGGCGAGCGTAGTAAGAACAATTAGATAGCTTGCGTACCTTCGTGTCCGGGGGAGGTGGGGCATCAGCAGGGCGTGCAACAGCAATGCCTGCGAAGAGGGCGATGAGGATGGTAGAGAATTGCATCCTGGGATAGTATGGTAGCGTCGGTCAACGACAACTATTAGCGCTTTATGAAAGGGAATAAAAGAGGAAAAGGAGAGATGTTGTCGGTTAGTTGTAAGACTGAGTTAAGCAATACGCCGGAAGCTATGTGAACTGTGTGGAGGAATAGAGCGAGTGACGCTTCTTTTAAATGGGTGTGTTCATGGGGATAGCCCAAAAGCAATTTAATGGTTACTGTAGTACAGATAGGGTACTCTTTGGAGTTCTGTCTGGTGATCCGTAACCTGACTCGATGCTATGTTCAGCTGACACAAACTTGACACAACGCCGGTTCAAAGGCCAGCCAAAGACCCACTCGTAAACAGAATATCAAAGATTGAGTTGCCTGTGGGAGGCCCTGCCGGCCTGGGGCTCAGAGCCTGCCGGCAGTTCAACCCAAGGCCAGCACGTAAGCATACGCTGCAACTGAAGTAATCGTCACCTGTGACTGAAGCCCTCATTACGCCTAATTACGGCCCTCGTCGCGCGCGCTATTAGTGAAGGTCTCGTCCCGCCCGGATAAGCCCATGGTTGAAGGTGTGCTGAACAAGATGCGACTAATAGGACGCCTCTGTAATGGGGCTGGGGGCCTACGTGGGCAAACATGCAGGCTGCACGGGCAATGTAACCGGCTGCGTGGGAGAACGAATTTGCACATTCTACGGATGACTGTTGAGACGAACTCTCCCGTCGGCTGTTACTGGTGGACCAGCACTCTGAGACACTGACTAGTTCATCTAGACAGGAAGAGAGTCGGTAGGGCTAAAATAGAGTTTTAGTTACGCATTTAACTAGTTCGGATGCTAAATTGGTTCAATTGTTTTCTTAAAAAAGGCATTCTTGTGATTCCTGAGGACAGTTCAACAGTTTCACAGCGTCTTATAACGCGGAATAATTTGAGGGCTTTCATTACTAGCAATTTACGCACGATTTTGCTCATTTGAACATAAGCAGGCCTCAAATTTTGTCTGCACGCAGGCAACCAGGCAACCAGACTCCAGAACCCAAATGCTGCGGTTCTCACAAGTTTATTGTCGGCGGCCGCCTTTTCATGTCCGGACTTTGACGATCTTGCGCACAAGAGGACTTATCTTTTATCTCGATTTGAACTGCAAGCCGACACATGCATCTGCCGGCCTTGGCCATGAGTGCAGATGTCTACATTGCCGTCTCAATGCTTGCAGCCTGGGTTCGGTTATGTCATGACATTTTTAAATAATAATTGAGGACACGCATGCGGATGAGCAAATATAACCTAGCTAGCGCTATCAGATGTATAGACTGAATCTAGGCTTGAAGTCTGCAAATACTGCGCGCGTCAGCCCTTGGTCTGTTTAGGTGGGAACGAACAGGTTTGCGTCTCGACCGTCGGCATGGTTGGAATGTCTGTGTTTGCTCTCGTCCTTGTGTCGATAGGTCCTCGCTCGAAATGTATCGGTGAAGTGATTAAATGCTTCGAATCTGTCGCTAAATGACAACCATCAGCAACATGAGAAAGATAAAGACCGGCAAAGGACATACAACACCGGGCGTTCGCCGGTCCGACTAGGACTTCTTTCTGATGGGTACCTTATGGATGTATGTGCCAGGGCATAGTCATCAACATCACTAGGTATGGATGTAAGCAGTAGCGTGTGCCGGAACTCGTTTCCGGTTTCTTTCGGAAGAAAGATGACGGACAATTTGTGTCTGGGAATAAGTGCACGCCCATTATCTACAACCTGAAATCCCATCCCTGGACAACGGAATTCAATAGCCAATTCTGTTTTCCTCGAATCTTTGCGCTGATACCCGATAAGAGACAGATAAGCTCCTGATAACGATAACAGGCAGGGACTTGGTTGTCGAGGGCAACATGCCACACAATGCACGCAGGGATGTCATGCGCTAGTCAAATTGGACCAATTAGCTGTCGTCGCGCGACTCGAATTTCTGTTTTGTTTTCCATGGTTTTTCCCCATCACGCCGCGCCGTAAGAACCAACCGAGATATCAACGCTTAAGCCTTCATCCTGAGCCTGCGCAACGGAGCCAGTCTTTCCACATCCTTTCCGGTTCGGCTCCGTCTATCATGTCGTTCCGCAGGACTCCCGCGCCGCCGTCAAGCGGCCGGCGCCACAATTCCGTCATCATGTCGTCGGTTTCTCCCGAAGCTACCCGCACTCCCCGGGCGCAGGAGACTATGCCTCCCCCACCACTCTCCGTACGCGTCCCGGAAGCCGACGCAGAAACAGGTTGGTGCATTTTCCCATCCGTTGACGGGTGTACACCTGGCGCAACAGCATAGAGCATAGTCGCGATGGCCATCGCAGCCGCTGACCAAGATTGTGTTCATAGATTTCCCCGACGCCGTCATCCTCGACCACTACTTGAACCCCGAGACATACCGCGTCACTTTTGACTGGAAACGCGTCGGCGTCCGCGAACAACTCGTCATCCCCGAGGTGCACGCTCAGCTCATCGATCAGAACAAGGTCCTCGACTACTGGCACCAGGTTTACCTCACCACGCGCCAGGTGCGAGAACAGGCCCTTCGCTGCGAATTCTACCACGTCTTCCAGATCCTTGACCATCGCCGTCTGGGGAGGGGTACGAGATCAGGTTTCCTCCTGGTGCAGTGGGTCGGCTACTCGGATGACCCCGAAGAAGCCACGTGGGAGCCCATCACCAAGATCGACAGAGTCGCGCCGCTGGACGTGAGAGATTATCTGACCAAGAAGCGCCTGTGGAAGAACCTGCGCCCATGGCCCGCTTGGAGGAGAAAGACACAGGACCACGAGGACGCACGCCAGAGACTCATCGCAGCCCCCAGTCTGCTGGATGAGGCCAACCAGCGCTTGCGGTCCGAGTCAACCACGAGGTTGTCGGCGGATCTCGGGCTCGATAGATGATGTTGCGTGGTGATTTCGTCATGAAATCAATGAGGCATCATGCAGTCCACACGCATCCTACCTGAATACCAACCAGCCGGACTCCTCTACCCTGCCGTCACTTTGGTGCACCGTCAACATCTAGAAGATTGAGGCAAGTGCGCCTCTGCCCCAGTCCCCAAGGGGACTGATCAAGACTCGGCTGAGAAGAACTTGTTCGTAAGCAGGCCCATTGCATGAGTCGCTAGTAGAATCCTAGGTGACGATAGCTGATACTCGCAGACCTCATCAGGTAACCTCTATTCAAGAGCAACAATGGTCAAGGCGACGGGGATGCACGCGATGTCCGCGAACCATCTGCATTAGAGACGATGCAGGCACATGCCGAACAACATGTTCATTCTGGTTGGCATTCATCCGAGATTGAGCGTCGCAGAGGACTCATCGGGACTCACAAAGTCCCTTCACAAATGGTCAATGCTCACAACAAGCTCATTGGCCAGCTGATACCTCGCATCAGTTTTCGCACCATTGCGAAGGGTATGCCCGTAAACTAGCATGACCCGTGTTGGACAGTCAGGCAGTGTGTTCATTGAATAAACATCAAGAATACTGCCCTAACTATAGTGTCGGGTGAACCCGAGGAGCCACTTCTTCCAAGCTGGCGATATTGCCATCATCGCACCTATCAACACGGAAGAGCCCAAAACCACCAGGGTCAGCGTCCAGTTTCCTCTACCATGTACGAAGGTCCGAGATGCAAAACAATTTGAGGGCGCTGCCCAAAGTCAGCAGAACGGAACCTGAGGAGCGTACCACCAGCCACCCTTTGGCCTCACTTCAACTCGTCCGGGTTGATTTTTGGTTGAGCGATAGCTTCGAGCTGTTCCAGGCGGTACACCACGTATGCCGAGCGCATCGTCACTTTCCACTGGTCCAGGCGATGTAAATTTGGATGTCGGCTTCTTCCGATAGCAAATTATCAATTCCCAATAAGGGAGATTTAACACTGTGCTCAACTTGAACTACGTGATGCGCTTGCGCGCTGCTGAATGTAAGCCACCCGGTGGCCTTTGGAAACTGCTGGTGTCCATCCCGCTAATCCCGACTTGAACATCGAGTAGATTCATGGCGGGGAGATCTCATTCGCGGGGCGACATGATGCGGACGTGTTTTCGCAGCTGATACAACATGATTGTTTAGGCTGGCTAAATTACCAAAACCACAAGGTGTCGTGCGCGCTATGAACTTTCATACAGAAGTAAAAGCTCTGCAGTTTCTCTTTCGGTAACCATTTAGGACTCAGACTACGAAGTTTGAATATAATCTATCTGTGGAATAAACGACAGGGCAAGACACGTCGCGAACTTGCTGTGAAAGCATTCTTGTTGAATTCCGCATACCTCAGGCTTCCCGAACCACCTCAAAAGCAAGTAACCGCCATTGTGAGTCCCACCACGACGGCTTTGTGACGCCGAGTTGGCCCCTCATGTCATCATCATCGTACATTTCCGCCGTAACCTTCCAACGCGAGCCTGTCATCTCAGACAAGTCTGTCCATAAGGCCTCCCACGTTCGCAAGTTATGCCTCAAACTGGGCTTTCCGTTCATTCCCAGGGACACCTCAATACCTTCGACATGTCCTATGGTGTGACCCAAAATAGCCACACCAGGCTCTGACTTCAGTAGTCGAATAATTCTTCGCAACGCCTTCAGCTGATCCTCCCGATCCCATAGATGTAAACACATTCCAAGGTGAGCAGAGTCAAACTGACAAACCATAGTCTCGAGGACACCATCCTTATCTTCGACAACGTCACCTACGACGAAGTTCGTGTGGAGGGACTGGTTATCTCGAAACAACTCGTAGCCAGCGTCAATAAAACCCTTCTCAACTTCCACGCCAACAATGTTTTCTGAAGGAACGCCATCGTAAACTAACTTGCGTATGTCCTGTCCAACACAGCACGCAATGTCTAAATGTCTGGCGTTGGGTTCCTTAAGTCGATTGACAAGAGAATTATAAAGACGCATGCGATGCAGGTAGAAATCCAAAAAGGAGAAGCGGCCAACGCATGGGTAGGGGAAGATACTCCAGATTTTATCCCGCTTGATGCCAGCCATTCAGTCAGGCCAGATTCTATTAAGTGCTCAAATAGAAACGTACCAGTGTCAACACATGGGCTTCCACATTCTCTGGGGAAACCCGCGCATAAGTCTCCAAAATGTCTCTCGCGTTTTCCAGAACATCGATGCTAACGCGAGTGGTGTACCATGGAGCCGATGTGTCGCTATCTCCAAGTACAAGTGATTGTTGATCAACGTTCATTGTGATTTCGCGGCGCTCCGTTTCTGTGGAATGGATTGTGATGGTTGACGTGCGGGGATAGCATTGTTGTGTTTCTCGTTGGGGTCAACTTAATATATAGTCAAGCTTACTAATAATAAACTCGTTCCTTTGTGATGCTTCCCCGCAAGGTGCTATGCTACTGAAGTGCCCGACGTCGGGCTATGATTGCCTCTTCAGGGAATTGATCACCGATGCCGCTTTTGACTACGTCCGCATTTTAAAGGCTTTCACTGGACCAATTCTACTATTTGCTTTGCATTTAAATTGAGGCGCTTCGTTGCATCTGTGCGAACAATGAGTTCCTGCATCTTGGAGCACATTGCGTTTTGTTTCCTGCAAACACAAACTCAATCTTGTTTTTACAAACTGCCAGGGCATATGCCGAGATCTCATACGAGCGACGCGTTCAGTAGTGACCGTGCTCGTCCGTGGACCTGGTATATGGAATTACTAAACAAGTTTAGAACTATCTATGCAGAGGAAAATTAATCAAAAGCCCGGCCAGATTTCGTCGATTTTCGTACGGTGTCTTGCAGTGCCGGCGGAGTCTAATGAGATCGCACAGCGCAGCAGGCAGACCTCAAAAACTACCTGAGCATCAGATAATTACACTTACGAGGAGTGCATGCGCTTGAACAATTCCCGTATGACGTGGTGATAAGATGGCGACTCCACGCATAAATGCCTCGTCATGGCATGACTATCGTGATAATTCCCGTCAGCAACACTAGGGGAAATTCGAAGCTCCGTCCATAACCATTGGAATGCTGCCGATTGCTGCATGGAGCTCTTTTTCGCGATGGCTTGCGTCCATGCCATTCGGGTGCCATCTCAAACTGAAGACTCAGCATGTGCTGACTGGCGACGAAGTGAATTCAATCACTGGTGATCGATCCTCCATCTTAAGCCAGGTCACTACTTAGATCTAGCGGTTTGGGAGTTATTTGTTTTGATCACTTCGTCGATTGCTGCTCGCCATTAGAAAGTCTCGGGGTGCAGCTATTGTCAAGCTCTCTTGCCCAAGCAGGCTACGAGTCGCCTGTCGTTGTCACTGTACTCGTCAGGGATATTATCAATAACTGGGTATTGCGCTCAAACCTGCAGAGTTTTAATTTTCGCTGTCGTAATGCCGGGTCTTGAACACGCTTTTCTTCGCTGGTTGAGTCCAAGATCTCTTGAACAATCCTTGTTTTAATACGCACGGTTGTTGGATATATATTTGTCTTGGAGAGAGCCAATTGCGCAAAACGAGATTACGTATCGAGTAAGTGATCAAGCAGTTCCACCCTGAACAATTCTGATGTTCATTATCATCGCCTGTCATCCCTTTCCCCCCAGACCACATAGTGTAAGCACTTAAATGTAAGTTCTCTGGTAGAAGTCGGCCACTATCGCACACATCCCTTTCCAACCTCAGCAGCTCATCGTCATCATGAGCGCCACCAAGCTGAAACCGACACAGGGTATAAGGGGAAGCCGTGTTACTAGTCATATGCTCACTGAACCTCATTAGTATCAATATTGGAGCACTCTGTCATCGGTCGACCGACACCATAACGAAGGATGATACATTGGTGTAAAGCTGGCGGCAAGCGCGAGGCAAGCTTTCGCTTCATCATTATGTACCTTTGCAAACTAAAGTCTTCCTCAATTGAAGCGTACGGGATATGAGATGTACAATTGGTTTTGAACTTAAGCATGGTTTGGCAGCGCTTCATACGGAATAGATCTTCATCCGCGCACATCACCACGGTCTCTTTTGAACACAAGTTCTTGTCTATCGTGAGGTTTTGGAGTTTCGATTTAAAATTCTGCCCTGTAGTTGCCTATTTGGTATTGAGACCTCTGATCAGACTTACGCCTTCTCAAAGTAGCAAGGCATTATGAGAACATTCGGGTCTCAGAGAAATGAGGCTTCATTAGTGTTACGAATGGTACTTCTAGGACGTCTGCAAATTAATCTCAGGCGTGCATTACGGACTTCATCAAATTCCATATCTCTGCTTGTGTTGGTATTCACTTTACGGTACTTCTGATAGACAAGCACGTGGACCTTAGCTGGACAAGGCTGCGTGATGACTGTAAGGAGAGTCACCGACGGCGGAGTCGTATGTTGTGAATTTGTAATCATTAGAACTACCCCTAGTTGCTCTTGAGCTCTGCAGTTATGCAATATGTTCACATGATGTCAGACGGGCAGCGGGTGGGGTTTGGATGCCAGGACAGCAGAAGATGGGAGGACATGCGGAGGTGCTGGAATGTGCCTCCTGGCTTACCAGTTGAAAATCACCAGCTTGCGAATGACCACACCACTTGAAAGTGTAGGTGTGGCTAGACCACTCGTCGCCCTAATGTTGCGCCAAAGGGGTGAGCATGGGTGAGCGGTACGAGCTACCAGATGAGTATCTTTACAGAGAGTTCATTACTGACACAGCAAATTCCTGTTACCAGGCTTGAGGGATAGATTCAAAAACATCTAAAATCTTTCAATCTACAGCATGTGATCCAAGCCGAAGCACCCTTTAATGAGAGGGCTCTCTGCCATACGTTCCGGCCCCCTTACGATGTCTGACGCCCTATCACCTTACTTTTCATTCCCACTTTTGCTCGCCTTTTCAATTTGAGTGTTAATGATACCCGGCTCTCGCCAAGACATAAGCTCAAGGAGTTGGTGCTAAGCATGGGGCATCGTATATGCGACACAATGTCGTATTGGCCGCTCAGCTCCAGTACTGCAAAGCAACTCCATGTCTGACAGGCAAGCCTACTTCGTCCGGTCAACTTTTCCTGAATGCGGGTAATAACAGGAGGACTCCATTTAAAAAGAACTTCGGTGTACCGTCGGTTGACTATTGCTGACGAAGTTGCTGCCTGGGAAGCTTGGCGAGACTGTGTCAGCACGGTTGTTACATTCTCGCTGAAAAAGGCAGGAGTCAATGGATCCTACCACCCTGAGCGGTTTAGGTCTCCGAATCTCGCGGCTTGAAGAGGGACGTTGGCTGCAGGCTGCACCGCCTGCAAGTACAGGCTACAGTCAGCCAATACAATTATGATCCTTCACCATAAGTCTAAACGGCCTCTACCCTTAATTTTAGGTTCACCAGACTGCCACCAAAGCCGGAGCAGGTATATCAAAACAACTAGGTAAGACTTAATTGTAATCATACATCTGTACACATCTTCATAATTGCGAGTCTTGAATCGGAACTGAATAAGTTGCTGAAGAATCGTTAAGCGTATCGAGCCAATGGGGCAATGACTGAACGGGCTATGATGCTTGTTTTGACTATGAAGCCGCACCTGCAAGTAATCCTTGGCCACCACGAGCACCAGGCTAAACGAGTTGGCCGGAAAGATTTAAGGCTGTCTCGTAGGATCAATACTACAGGAATCCGAACGGAAGGATTTCAGGGGTCGCTAATTTGCAGGGTCCAGGCCCGACCGACCTGCCAAGGGCAGGGGGGGAGCCTTTGACATTATCATGTCGGGTCGGCAGTCCTCAGCTACTACCAAAGTTCTCAGCTGCAGCCAAAGTTCTTCCATTAGATGGAACCATAACAGATGGAGCTTTTGAGAGCCCACGAATAAGGAAACTACATCTGGAGAAATGCGCCAGCAACTAGCGAGGACTCAGAATTGAGGCCTGCTTGGGAATCGGCATGGAGACCTTGCTGCCTGCTGAAGTTCTTTTCTTGTCTAGGTATTCAGCCTAAACAGCTCTCAGATTGGCTGACAACTGTCTCGTTGCTGATGGCTTATGCCTAAAAGTGCATCGAACCACGCCGGCTTGGTATTCCGAACCCACTTACCAGAAAATTGCACGACTTGGCCATCAGGTGTCCTATAAGATGAGGACATCAACGAACGAGTATAAATTTGAGCTACTCCCCACCGAATCAAAGCCGTCTCTCAGCAGAAAAGCCCAACCAAGTCTAGTCTGACATCAAACAATCTGCCCCCCGATATCCTGCTCGTCTTGTAATTACCCGATCCCGAGTTGTATTTCAAGTAACATCATGGTTCGCTTCACGGTTTCAGCTGCCGCGGCCGTGCTCGCCTTCTGCTCCCAGATCAATGCCACTCCTGTGAACGTTCGACAAGAAGAGGAAGTCCACCCCATCGGCTTCGACGAGAGCTTCGCCCGACGTTTCCCCGCCGGCGCCGCCGTCCCTAAGGTCCAAACCCTCAACATCGATGAGCTCGTCCACAACTCCACTGAGGCCCCTGGATTCACGCCTTTCCCTTTCGAAACCGAGGCCGGCGAGGTAGACAAGCGCTTTATCATTGGCGCCGACGACCGCCACCTTTGGAACGATCCCAACTATCCCTTTATTGCAGTCGGCCGGCTGCTATTCTCCAACGGCGTCTTTTGCTCCGGTGCGATGATCGGGCCCCGCCTTGTCCTTACGGCCAGGCACTGCTACGTTGAGGGCGTCCCCGGCGTCTTTGCCCCGGGCTATGATAACGGTAACCGTTACGGCGAGGCGCAGCTCACCAACGTCCTCTTTACTACCGGCCAGGAACCCGCCTCTGCCTGTGATACCAAGGGAGATTGGGCCATATATGCTCTCGATCAGCACCTCGGCGACCGTGTTGGATACTTTGGTGCTAAGCTACCCGACCACAGCATGCTGGACCAGCCTAAGTTCTTCCATATTGGCTATCCGGGCGACAAGGACGGCGGCCGCCGCCCGTATCGCCAGACCGATATCACCATCCACTCGAAGCCTCGCACATTCGACTGTGACTCAACTGGCCCCATCTGGACCGATGCTGACACAATGGGCGGTCAGTCCGGCGGTCCCCTCTGGGAACTTGATGGTAGTGGTAACCGGTGGATTTGGGGCACCCTGTCTGTCGGTGTACAGAGCTCTACCGAAGCTTATTCTGGCTTTGCTTCCGGCAACAACATGGTCGACGGAATCATTTACATGCGCAATCAGTTCCCTTAAATGGACTACCGTTGCTTCATTGCGGAATGGCAAGAATAGTCAATGGATCGTTGCGAGTGTTTTGTTACACCGACGTACGCTGCAATTTCTGCCCTTTTTCTAGTACTCTGGACTCAAATCACTGCTTGTATATATTCTCCTTCAAACGACTTGAACTTGACGTATTTCAGTACTCGGAGCGCCCTTGCCTGCCATCGTATCTTTCTATTGATAGTTTTAATGTGACACTGGGGCTGTCTTTCTATCCCGCTTTGGGGTTTGAAATCTTTTCGTCTGCTGCTCTGATATCGCGGAAGCTTTGGTTTTGCCACGCTCGTTTGGTTGTGCGAATGACATCCGGCTTCTGGAAAGCGAGAGATAAATAATTGCACACACTGGGCCGAGAGTTCCCTGTCGTCCGCAAGCAACGTGCATCGTAGCGATGTGCTGCAACTTGCGATCTGGGGTAACCAGGCCATCCAGATGTATAGAATGCAGACCGACAGTGGGGAGAAGCAGAAGCAATGAAAGTACATCCGTTTGGTGAGAAAGCTCGATACTGTATTGTTTGCTTATGGGAGACGCATCGAGAGTTCGTTGAAGAACGGAAATCTTTACAGTAGTGAGGATGAAGTTGAAAACTTGATCCTGGATGTCCACAGTGTCTCCAAACATACAGTCTCAAAATCGAACGCTGGTCTCCACCGCAGAATCAGCTGCAGATTGGGCTTGACATGGGAAGTCCACGCAGATTAGCGGATTCCAGCATTTTCGCAAACGCTGTGTCGGTTTAAATATGGTTACTTGGTATTTTGAGCCTTCCGCCTGGATGCACAACTTCGCGAATTTCTCTTACTCTTCATTAAGTTTGGATAGCTTCTCTGAATCGTAATCGGGCGTCAGGGGTTGCGGCACCAAACAAATTTTCCAGCGCTGCTGGACCCAGGTAGTTCTTAGAGGTATCACCGGCGCTGTGACTCAATCCCATGCCCCTTTCGCCGGCGGGTCCGCCGTCGATGACGCTTCCATCTCTGGAGCGATACTATACCTCCATAGTTATAAGTGAAAGTGACAGAGAATCGTCCGCCCCTGGCTACTGTCCTGAGTCTGCTCAAGCTTTTCGAACTTCTCCTCCACCCAGTGGTCTTCTGAGAGTACCCGGAACCAAACAAGTGATTACGGTAATAGAAACTTGCGTTGCGCTACCACGGGCTCAAAGCCGCGAGGCACGAAGCAGCTGAAGACTCGTTCGAAATATTCCTTCCACATTCCGGATACGTTCTCAACTGTCGAAGATTTCCCCGTGGGAGTCATACGGCAGTCAAAACGGTGCGCCTCCAGGCGGCAGACTGCGAAAGAAAAGCTAGAATGGAAGAAGGATTGCGTGGTACTAAGAAGGCAGTGACAATCACGCGGCTCTCCTCCACGTCAGGGGTCACGGCCGGAGTGACGTGTCGAATATGAGGAGTCGTGACGTGGCGCTCGCTGACGAAGAGGAGGCATTGTCCAAAGCCATCTCTATCATCGCTGAGCTGGACTGAAAATAAACTTATGAGTCGTCAATGCCTTCTACAGGGCCCCGCAGGAAGCCTGCGGAGGCAGGAGAAGACTGGAAGTTCTTCAAGGCTTCCGTGTTGGTCCAGCCCGTTCAATGTCACGATACAATCGGTAGATTATAGATGCCATGTATTCCCTACATAGATGGAAATCGCTGATAATGCACGCAGCCTGTTCAGGGTTGTTGACCATTCCTCCCATCGATGCCATCAAGCACTGTTGAGCGGGTCATAACAGCCACCAGCGTGGTCTGCGGACCACATCGGCCACTCTGGCTCCCGCGGCAGACGAAACCGCTTTGGCTTGTCTTAGCCATTGTGCGAGGACATTGGAGAGGCAAGTATGGCGAACCCTAGGCCAACGATGGCTTCGACTAGTGTACATGTCTGGAGGGCAGGTGTCTGTGGTCCAGGAGGTGGCTGGCTGGTTACATTCACACCGGAGAGTGGGGCGTGCAGGGCCGTTGGCTAGCGGTGTTCCATGTGGCATTGTAGCCATTCCCCCGGGACGAAGGCAAGTGTTCTGGAGAGGTAGACCATCTGCGTAGTACCTCTTCATCGTCTGTAAAAGTATCAAAGCCAGCCACTGACGGACCAGAGGTATTCTGGACCAGGTTACACCAGCGCTGCCCAATGCGAATGTGCCTCCGATCGCTCAGACAGGTTCTCGGGGCGTCAAAGTTGTTTAATTTTGTTCTCAACCGGCGGCATCTCTCCATCCGGACAAAGCACCTTTTTGTCTCAATTTGGAATGGCGAAAGGACTTGCCGTTGAATCGATACTTGATGCTGGCCCCGACAAAGTTTTGCTCATTTACCCTTCTAGCCTTCTAGAACATACCCGGAGGGCAGCCCCGCAGTGCGGTCTCGGGTAGAGCCCACGCAAGACCCTGGCGATCCTGCGAAAACAACCTTGCCTCTTTGGGGCAACGGATTTGATGATACATATACTCTGGCCTTGGGCTACGGTCAACTTTACTCAATGACTGCATTGCACTGCGTAAGTCGTCTTTGTAAAATCATCGGAGGTTAGATTACGGCCATGACACATGTGAACTTGTCACGCAAGCTTGGAGCATCAGAGGCAGTCATTCCAGCCGCCGTGACTCTTCGTGAGAAACTGCCACAAAGTGTTTTCTCCACGGCGAATACGATGCAGAACGTTATCGAATGTCTCTGCATAACCTATTCTTCAAAGACAAACCAGCGATTTGATCACGATAGGAGTCCTTCGGCATGGGGATGCTTCAAGGCCATTTCAAAGTGAGACTGGCGCGTACAAGGCATCCAGAATGTCTTATTTTCTAGCTAACAATGTTACTTTCTCCATCGAAAGCTGTCAAAACGCATACTTCTTAGATCCTGTCGTACATTTTGACGATGCATGGACCCGCGCCCCTGAGTTCTCCAGCCGAGTTTCTGGAATCGATTCAGCCTCTCATTCTCAGAGGCCGAATACATGTTGGCCTCGTGTGCTACCACTGATACTATTGATACGACAGAACCCGACCCAATCATTTGGATTAGAGTAATCAGAGCGTTGTTCAGGACCTCTTGACGAGGGCCTGGCGCGATGTTCTTCAAGATGCCTTCGATCTCGCTCCTTTGTTGTATCATCTGCGCTTGGCAAAACTCTGAACCTGGGGCAACAGGTTGTTGGCGAAAAACTGGTATTTTTGGGTCGTTCTGCTTCACTTCGGCCGCGGGAACTGCTTGGGTTGGGATTTCACTCGGCCTTTCCTCGACTCTTGAAGACTTTCCTTGCGTCTCGTCTACAGAGTCATCCAGCCGTGTGCGCTTCCGAGATTCGGGCAGAGGACTTCGGCCTGTTGAAAACATGGAACATTAGCTGGCGGGAATTTGAAAGGTCGGGTCTGGACAGAGTGTTTGAATGCTTATCTTCTGCGACAGCGAAGTTCAAGCCACGGACCTTCTGAAATTCTGGGAGACTGAATGCCGGGCGCCATTGTGCGTTTCTGCACTCAAAAACGGAGGTGATATGGTCGATGTACGAGACGCTATGTGCCGAGGTCTTCTAAGGGCTCTCTTTCAGTCCGGCTCGAAGCAAACTTGATGTCGGAAGATATATGATTGTTCACAAGGTTGAAGCAATAGTTTAAATACAAGGCCATTCCACCTTTTGAGATAAAGATTAAGCACACAAATCCTTTATTTTCGAGCCGCCTTGTCACCGCCGTCGAGAACCTGGAGAGCTATCCATAATCGATTGGTGGACCTCCCGCCAAATCCTAAAGGGTGGCCGATTTCCCTCGACAGTCGGCTAACACTGTAGATGTAAGTAGGCAAGATATAACGAATGGTGTCACACTGAGTTCACTGGTGATGAAGCGACAGGTTTGCAGGATCGGGTGGGCCTAAACGCTGTCCCTCGGCTGCCTCTGACCGCCCTGATCCTTCGAGACTGGGCGGTTCCAAGGCTTAAATAAGTACAGAATGAGCAGACCGTGTGTTCCTTTTTTTTAGGTTATGTCATTGACCGTGAGCTCCAACCCAGTGGCGAGGGCTAGCGCCACGCGCTCCATGAAGATGAGTAATCATAAGTGTCAACGGCCCCCCAGCCAATGAGGTGTTCTTGAACGGGGACAAATTTTTGAATCTGGTGAATCAATACAGGAGACCATTTCCGTCGAATACTTGTAATCGCGATAGTCCATCGTTCATCACAAGCGGACCATATGCCAGAGCCAGAGGTGGTGCTAATGCTGTCGCCATACACCCCTCAGCCATCATTTTGATTAATTAACACGCATAAACACGCTCAGTCACTCAACATACTGAGAAGCATGACCCTAACACATTATCTTTTCGTGTAACACCATAAATCTATGTTTGAATCGTAGGCATCGATGGTGACAGTATCCCACCAGACTTTCTAAAACCAATATGACAGAAGTCACATGTCTCTACTGTACACTATTCCAGTCATTGTCACCAGACGAGCGATAGGTGCACTGTTTTGAACCCTAGCATCTGCTGGATTCGAACAGTCGCAACGAGCACTGAGGAAGCCTTCGGCGTCACATCCTCGAAATTTTAGTTATGGCGCTGTAAAAAAGATAATCGTACAGTTAAACATCGTCCTATGGTTCACTTCAGCTTTGTTTGAAAAGACTCGCTAGCTAGCTATTTACATTTCCTTGCTTTTATAACTTTATTTTGCGTTAGGTCTTGCCATAATAGCAGGTATTTATGAAGTATTACTTCTAAGAAGAATCTTCAAGCATCGGTTGCTCAAGGACGATGTTCTGTTTGTGAGCAAATCAACACTGCAGCGCCAAGCGGACCAGAGGGCTAAGCCTCTCTCAGCTTGTAGAGTCAGTCGTCCCGCTGATATAACAACCTTTATAGAACAGCATCTTGTCCGTGCGTCGCCGCGCCATCATGACACGCCGTAGAGGTTTGATCCACGCACTACTATGTGTGCCTCTGGAGAGAAAGTTCTCCAAAGACCCTTAGGAGATTATGAAGCTTCTACAAAGTTCCATCATTGGACGCTGGAAGGAGAAGCTCTTCAGGATTCAAGCTGGTGCATCATGAGATGCAATAAAACAGTGAGTAGAAGGCTGGGCGCGAATAGTCGACGTTTCGTGTGGGTATGGAAAAGCATTTAATTATTGCCGTAGGTGCGGGCGCAGACGCATGCTTGCATGCACTGGTGGGCCATTCAAAGTAGCCACAACAGCGATGCCTCACAAGTGTGCTACCATAATGTATGCAGATTGATGAAATAGATGACATGTGACTGCGTTGAAAAACAGCAGAAGAAGTCGTCAATGACCGGGGGTTTTGCTTCCCTTATATACCTCAAGGCAAGCATTAGGCCTATGTGCTGACTGATGCCGATTCAAGACGTTGATGTATTCATGCTCGGAGAAAGAGAACTTATGCATATCATCATTTGTGCACGAACAAACAATGCACATTATCTACCCAACTATCAATTTTTCAGCAGTCATTCTTAGCCTAGATACCCAGTGACACAGCAAATACGAACAACCTAAGATTCCCATTATCATGCAGACTAAAGTGCCACGTAAACCGATTTCAGTTCCGTCCAGTAGTCGGTAGCATATTTGGAACCCTCCTTGCCTTCACCACTCTCCTTCCACCCCCCAAACGGCATGTCGGCCGTCATGGTCGGGCTGGTGCAGTTGATGCCGACGTTTCCGGCCTCGAACCTCTTCGCAATTCTAAGCGCGCGTGAAATATCCTTGGTGTATACTGAGGCGTAGAGACCGTAACTGGTATCGTTGGCTGTCCCCAGCACCGCCTCTTCATCATCAAAAGAATTGATGCACATCACCGGGCCAAATATCTCCTCCTTCATCACCCTGGAGTCGGCTGGTGCGTTTTTAATGATCGTCGGCTGAACAAAGTATCCACGGTCTCCGACTCGCCCTCCTCCCGTGACGAACTCCAAGCCCGTAGTTCTCGCCTCTTCCAAGAACCCCATGACTCTGTCGAACTGTAACTTATCTGCCTGAGGACCGCGCTGGTTGCCACAGCCCAACGGGTCCCCAGCTGCGCCGACCCGATCCATCTCGATCTTGAGAGCATCTATGAATCTGTCGGCAATGGCTGTGTGAACAAAGACTCGCGAGCTTGCGACACAAGCCTGGCCTGAGTTCACAAGGATTGAGAAGGCTGTAGCAGGGACGGCCTTTTCAAGATCAGCGTCTTCAAATATGATTAGTGGGCTCTTTCCACCAAGCTCCAAGGTGACCTTCTTTAAGTTTGATTCAGCGGCAGCCTTCTTGATGGCGCGACCGGTGGATGTAGATCCCGTGAAGGAAACCTTCCGGATGTCCATGTGTCGCGCAATAGCCTCTCCGCATGGCCGTCCAAAGCCATTGAGAATATTCAAAACGCCTTTCGGCAACCCGATTTCTTGGCAGCATTTGGCTAAGACCAAGGGGCTCAGAGGGGCCTTCTCAGATGACTTGAGGACCAGCGTGTTGCCTGCAATCAGCGCAGGACCGAGCTTTTGAACAACCATGGTAATTGGGGCGTTCCATGGAGTAATAGCACCGCATACGCCGAACGGCTGCCGCAAAACAATGTTCAGCATGCCGGGTGTGTTCAGAGAGCTGTCTCCTTGAATGTCCGAAGCCTTTCCAGCGTAATATCGTAGTTGACTCATCGCAACCGCTGTCGCAACTGTGCTTATGCGTTAATACCAAGTCCTTGAGTGGTTATGGGATCTTGACCAACAATCAGAATCCACTGGCTTTCCCATGCTGATAGCGTCAAGGTAGGACATTTCTGCAAAGTGCTTCTCCATGGAATCTGCCAGCTTGAACAGAAATGCTCCTCGCTCGGTCGCTGCAAGGTCGGACCATGCAGGAAACGCTGCTTTGGCAGCCGCTACAGCGTCATTAACATCTTCGACGTCCGCCTCGAAAACAGATGCTGTCTTCTGCTCAGTAGCAGGGTTGTATACGTCAAATGTCTTCCCACTGCGAGAGGGGACGAACTCCCCGTTGATGAACAGACGGGTCTCGACTGGCATCTCTTTGAGTGCCTCAACCGCGCCAGAGATGACAGGTATCTTTGGGAGTGACATTGTCGGGGAGTGTCGTGACAGTGATGTCGTAGTAACCAACTAAACTCTCAATTGAGTTGAGCAGCTTGGGAAGACTTCTTGCGTCAAGTAACTAAATACTCTGCCGGCCTTGAAACGACAAGGCATTTGTTTACTACAGTGATTGTGCTCAATATATTACCAGCATTAGTCAACATCATCAGAGTATGGGCAACCTTTGTCTGCTTTGCTTTCGCAGAAGACGCCTGCTATCTCCGAAGTCCGTCTCGGCATGCATGAAGCGTTTCACTGAATTTCGCCAAGTCTTGGCCAAGGTGGAATAATCCTACCGTGGTTGACGTGCATTGCTGATGCAGTGATGCCTCGATACGTTACGGACCACATTAAGCAGTGATTTCACCCCACGCAAAGGCCATATGGCATGGTCATCGTACGATTCTTCTACATCCGTTGTTGTTGTTGTAAATATATTAGACACAACGATTTGGTAATCGGCAGCATCCAATAGCGGGTATTAAACGTTGGAGAAAATTGTCACCAAGTCTTAGGAATCAAGAGAAAGTTAAGCTTTGCTGTAGCGCATAATTCATAATTCAACTTAGGTTCGAGGTCATCACAAATGAACACTCCATTCAATCTGACCTGCTGGTGTTGATTGCATTCTACCTTTGTGGAGTATTCGTACCCTGTTTTTGAACCCGTTCAAGTTCTGCAACCAACTCCTTGTGTGGCGCTAAGGCAGGTGGCCGTTAATTCGTTGTTGATCCTGTCGTAAACAGAAAGTTCTCTTGTCGATCACCAAGTCAGAACGTGCGGGGTCCGCCTTGATGCCGGTTCACGGTGCGGACCTTGCCCGGACGCCTAACGCCGAGATGCGGAGACAAAGGCTGCGGTTTCCAACCATGTTGTATTCGCTTATGGGACCAGTAGCAATATTGGGTCATGAAGCCAGCGCCTGTTAACATTTCGCAGCCCTCGTCCTGGGTGACCGAACCGACCGAAAATTTCATCCTGTCAGTTAAGTTTTAATCTGACCGACGTCACTAAGAAGACCACTACGCCAATGACCTCAAAACGTGACGCTGGTAGGATTCGAACCGAACTGACAGTATGAAGTTCTGATTTGCTACACACCCATGACCATGACTCCCGTCTGCTAAATCAGCCCCACCTGCCGGCTCCACCTCGCGCTTGTGCCTACTGTAACCGAGCGATGCAATCTGGCTTCAGAAAGATTTTCCCCACTCCTAGATGACCGAGTTGAAGACTCTGGAACAATCTTCACATGTCGCTCGCTCTCAACCATGGCGAAATGCCAAAACAGCTGGAAGTATTAGAGAATAATCGACACGTACGAACAAGTATTTGTCTGCATGACGAAGATGGCCACTGGGGAGCGCTTGCATACATTTAATTTGTCCATAGACGATTTCACGACGAGATTGAAGGTAGAAACAATGGGCGTTAGGTACAAAGTCCTCGTATTCTCACTGCGGCAAAGTAGCCAGTCACTGTAAGTAACTCAATACCCCTGCAGTTTGCGCAACCAAGCAAGGTTTCTTATTCAATCGGTAGCCTGATAATTCAGGGCTGCAATCGAGACACGAATTCTCCAAGCAACCTGGAATGTAACCTATGGCTCAGAGAAGTTCCAGTTCATCTGAAAAGCTGCGCACCGTAGTGCTTGGATGTCTATACCCCGCATTTTCCAACATGCGAGGTTTGAAGAAGAGGCACCGGGTGCGGGGTATTAGGCCTGGTCTATGCCTCCCCACGAAACCACCGACCTTGTAACCATTCTCTTAGTCAATTATTGCATCATTTTAGCAGCCTGAGGTGCCTCCTGTGCGAGCAAGCCGCGGCAGCAGTTAACCGAGCTTCACTGGCTAAATTTTGCCGAATGGCTGCTTGCATCATTCACTGCATCTGGCGGGATGATACGTTTCAGCCACATTGTTTATGAGAACGAGCAAAACTCATCTGCAAAAGATCAACTGATCATCCAATTCATAGTAGTGAATCGGTCAAAAGCATTCGCCATGTCCACCCTCGAGATCAACAGCAAAGAATTTGTCAAGCTCAAGGACAAAGTCATACTGATCACAGGTATTGTGACCTCTTTCAAGCCGCTTCCCAGTTTGCGTTTGCGTTGGTCAGTCTTGTTCTGGCTTCAACACATCACATAAACTCCTTATCCTCGGTTTTGACGTAGGACCCTTTGCAGTCACATCACATCAATAGCCGGGTAATGATTATGTATGTCGACAAAATACTGACTGTTTTCGGCAGGAGGCTCCTCCGGCATCGGACTAGGGGTCGTCAAGCTTCTGCTATCCATCGGTGCTCGTGTGACAAGTGTCGATCTGACTGCCCCACCGGCCTCTGAAGATTTTACTTCACAATCGCCTACATTCACGTTCGAAAAATGCAATGTCTGTGACTGGAAAGCCCTTCGAAGTGTGTTTTCACGAGTAGTGGAGCGGGAAGGGCGGCTTGATGCAGTTTTTGCAAATGCCGGTAATAATCCAAACACATCCCGGGGAGCTGTTCGTTCGCGGCTAATGATGAGGCTGCGAATCTTGGAGCTTGCAGGCGTAAATCCTCGCACGCGATTCATAGATGATGAGATCGATCCTACCGACGGCCAATTGAAAGAACCGGATTTGTCATGTCTCGAGACAAATCTGTATGGCGTAATTTCTACGGTTAAGCTTGCCGTGCATCACATGCGGGCTCGTGAGATTCAGGGCAGCATTGTCATCACAGCATCTGTGTCGTCTTGGACGAGATTCGGAGCAGTGGATTACAGTATGTTGAAACCATTCTCCATGCATTCTTTGAAAGCTCTGCCCCTTTTCGAATGATTGTTTCCGGGATGAGAGCCTTTGCCGATACGAACCAGCTTCGCTCAAACTTTCCAATGATTTGACACAGTTCTAACCGCATAATTTAGCGACATCAAAGCACGCTGTGTTAGGCTTCATGCGAGGATTGCTTCCGCATACCTCCAGGTTGCCCGTCCCCATTAGGATCAACTGCATTGCTCCAAACTGGACAAAGTCCGGTCTGGTCACTGAAGAAATAGTTGCTCCCACAGGCTTTGACCTGAGCACTCCTGAAGACGTCGCGCGGTCAGTTGGGCTTCTGATGACAGACAAAGCCCGAAACGGGGAAGTAATCTTCGTCGATGGCGGAAGGTATTGGGAGATCGGGAAAACACTTGAGGGGGATGGAGTTGGGAGATTTGTTGGCCCGACAATGCCGCCCGGGACTTCCGACTGCACACACTGGGAACAGTATGTCGAGTTTTGTCGCAGGATGAACATGGCACTTGGAATAATGTAGCAGTGCTGTTGTGCTCGAACAGAACTGTTTTGGGGGTGTTGCGGCTGAGGTTGGTCTTGCTTGTAAAAGGTTGTACCATTGTATGTCAATCTTGACAGGTCTTTGCAACACTTTTCTAGGGATCAATAGTTCCACTGTTCTCCCTAGACACGTTGACGACTTTGGGGCATCAAGCCACATGAACTGTTGAACATCAAAATACATGATTATTGGCGAATGCGCCACTCGACGGCAACGATCGCGCCTCATTATGCTTTTGTCAGATGGAATAGAAATACTTCGGTTTGACTAGGGGAAGGTGTGATGAATGTGCGCAAGACTCCCCCCCCCCCCCCCATTGGCTTCCATAATATTCGACTGAGAGTGGCCTGTCAAAAGATTCTTGTCCCTCTCAGATCCCGCAACGCAGAGCTAGGACCGTCAAACCGGGAATACTTTTCTCTTACCATCTCATAAAATGAAAGAATCCAGTTTGGTTGAGGCTGGAGGTCTAGATGTCCAGGAGACTTTCCCGTTGTTCGGGGGGTTGATTGGCCGGAAAGCCATTCGTTGCGCGCTCAACCGACTGGAGACTTTCTATAGCTCCCTGGAAGAAGGTATAATGTAAGAGGTTTCACTAGGCGATTCCCAACCAGGTCTTTGGGACTACGAAAGTCTCTAAGCTTATAATAGGTAGTCGACTTTAAGCCCCATTCCGTTCGGATTCCGCCCCTGTCGCAAAAGTGGAACCATGATTTCGGGAGCGTAATCATAGCTTTTATTACTACATACCCCCCTAGACTGTAGAGTACGTCTATAGGGCTACCTTTAAGCTGAAAATAACGCTACGCACCCTCTTAGAGGGCACTACCCTATGAGAAAAGGAAAAATAGCTAACCTAAGTAGGAATTAAACCTGCGACTAATATGCGAACGTCCTACAATAGTGTCACGGTCTATGGACCGGTGTTCGGCCTTCGGCAAGACCCTCTGTCACGGTCTATGGACCGATATGAAGCTTCGGCTAGACCCTCAGCTATGGAATACTTTGGAAGGTTACAGAATATCGTGGAAGGTTATGAGAACCTTGTCGGCCCTTACTCAATGGAAGCTTCTGGAAGAAGACTCACA